TGAAACAACTTCCTTGGCTCTTCCTTAGAGACGTACACACAGGTTTGTCACTGACTTGGGCTATCATCAACACTTGGAATCCCCGTGTACCTCTTGAACCAAATCAATGAGCCTTCACTTAGGGTTTAGGGTTTAGGGTTAGCGGAACCACAACTTCCAGAAATCCCGCATTATACCATCACCCCTGAACCCTAAGCTCAGACACAAGCTTCCATAAGCGCCGGGAATCTTATGTACTCGAACAGGCGATTAATTGTCAGAAAGCCCTAAATGGGGGCTTGTCGAAATCATTACCCCATTTTGGACACCTACATATCACGGGCAGTATTCATACACTAGTGGCGCAGAAAGGGACCACGATGGTGACAACGTACCATATGGTAGTTTCCCAAAATCAGGGGACCCCAATCTAGACCCCAAAATACTATAATCCTTACTATAGGGACCCCCAGAAAGGTACCCCTAATTTTGGGAAACCCCCGTATCACTCTCCATAGTCCCAGCTCCCACGTCCCTTCTCTTTGATGTTTGATTTGGTCCTCCATTGCCCAGATAATCTACACCCCCTCAACCCTAATCCCCTAAATCCGCAAATCTCACCCCTAAACCCTAAACCCTAAACCTACCACAATCCAACTGCTGTCCAGAAACAGCAAGCGAGAAGTTTGGCATGTCGATGAAGTGACCCAGATCTGCTACCAGCCTCGCTTTGGGTTTAGGGTTTAGGGTTTAGTCATTACTTAGGCCCCTAGATTAGGGATCGATCGGGATGTATAGGGATATGTAGGGATAATATCTAGGATTCTGAATGCTGAGCAAGGGTACATAAGGATGTGTAGGGATGCAAGGGGTTAGTGGCAAAGAAGATCCAAGCTACTTTCCGGGGTTCAGGTCCTCGGGAAAGAAAATGGAAACTATTTTATGAGAGGGGATTGCTTCGGGACTACTACTAATAATCTAAACCCTAAACCCTAAACCCTATGGCCCTCAATACATAGCTCGCACCTCGGAACCTATGGTGTTCTAGTATACTAAAGTCACTAAGGTCATGCAGGGGCTTCATTAGCAACAGTTCCCTATGAAGCGATTCCATAGGATTTACCCAGACCCTCTACAAAATTCCAGAAAGTGGGTTCCACAACAAAGCTCTCTCACTAGACCTACCAAACCTTTCGGCGCAAAGCATGTTGTGACTAACTCACGCCTAAGGGGAAGTGGGTGAAGGAAGGTGCAAGGGAAAGGAAGGATGCAGCGGTCTAGGGGTTACTAAACGCTAAACCTTGGGTACTGCCCCCACCCAGTAACAGTCTATATTAGGGGTCCTATTAAGGGCTATATATAACCATATTATATCTATTATCCAACCGTTACTGAGTGGGGGCAGTACCCAACCTAAACCCTAGGGTTTAGGGCAGTCCTTGCACCCCACTCGTTCTATCCCACTTGCATCCGTTTCCGATTCTCAAGGCTCAGTGGATGTCATCTCCAAACAAAACTGCATAACATGGGTTTAGGGTTTAGGGTTTAGGGCTTAGGTAGGGTTTAGGGTTTAGGGTTTAGGGCTTAGGTAGGGTTTAGGATCCACAAGTTAGGGTCCAGTTTTTGGGAGTTCTTGTACTAAGGACTATATTATCTTGGGATTGTAGGATGGCCTCCTGTTTATGGAAACCCCGTTTTGATGTCCGCATGCGTATAAGTTTGGGTATGACTTTAGTGCCAGTATGAATATGAGTATTATTAAACCCTAAACCCTAAAACCATTAATGGTAGTAGTTGTACAGTACGAGCAATAGCAGACCTAGGCCCTACACCCTAGTTGGCGGCTAGAAGTTGGAGACGCCTCTCATACACACTCCAAGCACAGAGCCCTAAAACCTGAGCTAAAACCTACTACCTGAAAGGCTTAGAACCCTGAACCCTAAACCCGCCCCACCCCAAACCCTAAACCCTAAACCCCTAGACCCTAAACCTTAGACCCTAAACCCTAAACCTTAAACGGGTGCAGACCGAGGATGGCACAAACCAATCCCAGTGAAGATGTGCACGACCGCACCCTCCTGGCATCTTGGGCATGTACTTGGAGGGTCAGGGGGACTAAGTAGGTTAGGGTTTAAGGTTTAGGGTTTAGGGTTTAAGGGTTTACGGTTTAGGGTTTAGGGCCAGGGGGTGCTTAGTAAGTAGGTTGCGGATATGTAGGGTTACCATATGGGATACAAGGGTTATTGACCTACTTTCTCAGTCCCCCTGACCCTGCAAGCAGGACTTTCTCAAGCGCGAGCCTAGGGCTATAGTCCCCATTAAGTAGATAGAGTATGGAGTATATGGGGATCTTAGTATAATATACCCAAAGCCATATTCTATCTACTTCAGGGGAGCTATATGTAGGCATCATACGGAGATTGCTCCCAGGGATTCTACAGGGATCCAACCCTAAACCCTAAACCCTAAACCCTGAATCCTAACCCTAAACCCTAAACCCTAAACCGCGAAATGCTGCTTTTGAGGATTTCGGCTTTTGGAGAGTTAGGACTTAATGCTTCAGCGCCTGGGGAATGAGCCTGACTTTGTTGACCTTTGAGCAAAGGTTTGTTCAGGAGATTTGAAGGATTAGAGTTTAGGGCTCAGGGTTTAGGTTTAGGGATTGGGGTTTAGGTGGTGGTGAGTAGAGAATGGGGGAAGGGATCCAATTGGTAGTCCCCATATCATTCAATGCTTGTTTTCATTCCTATGGACCATATTCCCTGACTTCCTACCCTAAACCCTAAACCTTAAACTTAAACCACAAAAGAGGGTACCTTCGATGTTCTTTCCCTGCCCTCCTCTGCTAGAGGATTCCAGAGAATTTTGAGCCAGACTGGCATTGCCTTGCTTTCTCAGAGAGAGTGAAAGATCAGCGATAGCATCCCGAATTGCTTTAGCCAATACCTCTGGATTTAGGGTATAGGGTGCTGAAACGCATCAAAGCGTTCCACTACCTGTGGATTGGGCTCAGAATGTCGCTGATGTGAGGTCCACAGTCTCAGGGAGTGGGGTTCTGGGAGTAAAGGGCTGATCCTGCTGCCTTCGCAGCATCTGCCTACCATTGCAGGTTTCATGATCCATTCTCACCTAGGTTGGGGGGGTAATGTTTCAAGCTTGGTTAGGTAACCCAACCGTCTAAGACCTATAGAATTCACCACGAAAAGGGGCTCCTACATCGCTTGCAGCCTGTCCTGTCCCGACACCTATCATGTGGAGTTCAATGTAATTAGAATCCAACGCTAAGTGTACTTCTGACCCATTTCTAAGCCTCCTATAAGTGCGGAGTTTGATTCTTGGTGTGGGAGGGGATTAGGTGAAGAAAGCCTTCGTCTGTGGAGGTCTGCGCACTTCCGCTACTGATGATGCGACGGAACAGCGTATGTCTGCAAGGTTCCCCGGAACTTATATCCCTTCTCCCTAATATAGTCTCACGATAGAAATGGGATTTTTTTGTTAGGAAGATAGATGGGGTTATTGCTTTGGGCAGAGGATTACATAACTGGCTACCTAATCTCGATGAGACTCCAAATCATCGCCATGAGGAGCCACGGTATCCGTACCACCACGAAGCAAATACTAGCCACCCCAAAATTTGTGGGATAGGATTCTGTAGCACTTTGAAGGCCCAAAATCAATTGGGAGCACCCCTGTAACTCTAAACCCTGAACCCTAAACCCTAAACCCTGAACCCTAAACCCTGAACCCTAAACCCTAACCACCACCCAGTACATCTTCGAGTATTCCGCCTGCTGCGGCGAATGCTGGAAGAGTAGGTAGACGCCGAGGCCTTGTAGCAAAGCAGGGCTTAGGGTTTAGGGTTTAGGGTTTAGGGTTTAGGGCTTAGGGCTTAGGCTTTAGGATTTAAGGGCAAGGCTCAGGAGTTGGGGTGTTGATTTCGGGTTCCGAAAATCTAGGGTCCGTTTTTGGGAGTTCTCAAATGGAGGATGATTGCATTTTGGCATGTGTAAGCGGGACCACATCTTCAGAAACTACAATTCCAATTTCCCACGACCCTGCACCTGATTTCTGGGATAGTCCCTATTAAAAATTCTTAACTTATGAAGTATCTGAAATTTTATAGGAATTATAGACCATGATCCATGAAAGACATTCCCGGGAATACGCCTAAACCCTAACCCCAAACCCTAAACCCCGAACACTGAGGTTTAGAGGCTTGGTCGCCTAGGCCTAGGCCTTCTTGGAAGCTGTTCGTGCTCAGATTTTTGAAGCATTCCACAATCCCCCAAATCTCAAAATTCAAAAAGGGAAAATATAAGGGTACGGATTATATAAAGGCTTAGGGTATTATAATTTCCGGTATATTGGAAAAGAAAATAAAAACTACAATTTAGGGCTTAGTTTTTAGGATGCTGTAGGGATATTCCTCGAAGATGGAGAACCCACGATGGAAAAGAAAATCAGAAATGAAACAGACAGTGTGATTACATAGCATTTTGTAGGGATATGGGGTTTTCCCGCAATTAAGGGTCTCTTTGTGGGGGGTGGGCACCTAGAAAACCATATAGTATCTTGGGGTGTATACTGGGTCCGTAATTTCTGGGTCAGGAGTTTATCGAATATTGGATGTAGGGTTTGGGACGTGTGGTTGAGAATTGGAGGATTTAAGGTTTGGCACTCAAGGTCAAAAGTCGACGCTTGGAACCAGAAATGCTTAGGCTGAGTAAATGGTGATTTCCCTAAATAAGGAGACCTGAATATAGACCCTAATAGACTATAATCCTTCTTATGGGGACCCCCAAATGGTACTCTTAATTTTAGGAAACACCCAAATGAATCTAACTGACGAAAGCTGCTTCCCAGCCGGCTCACTGACAAGCACATCGTAAACGTAGCGCTAGACTCATGATGTTGGGAAATCTTAGGATTGACACAAAAGTCTGGCATTTTGCGCACATGCTTCTGATGCCTCCCATTGAGCTCTCGTTGAAAGGCAAGTTCTTTCATGCAGCTGTCACCCCTCAGATCTCGCCGGACTCCAACCAGGCATACTCGAAGGTGAAGTCAGCCTTGATTCGCTGCGCCCACTGTCCATCAAAGTCAAAGAAGACGTAGGTGCCTCGTTCGAAGTCGGGTGCGGTCAGCCGTGGCTCTTCATGCCGCTGGAACCAAGTCAGATACTTGGTGTGGTATCGCCAGGACAGCTTTTTGAGCTCCTTGGCGGCCAGGTACTGCTGATAAGTTCCCTGTTGATGATAGAATGCCCAGAACAAAGTGTCCTGTTCGAAGCGCTCAAACAGTGTCGGGTCTTCAAACGACCGGACGCCCTCTGTGCGAAACATCGGCTGGCCATTGGCATCCAAATGCACATATGGGTTCTGCGGCTGGTATTTCCGGTTTCTTCTAACGTCTGAGGCCTGAGGCATGTGCCTGGCGGACGACTCTAACAGGGTATGGGCTCTCTCCTGCGCCCTTGTTAGGGGTGGCACGTCGTATGCCGCTGGGGTTGGTGCCTGTCCTGCCTGGGCATCTGCGAGTGGCATAGGCGCGGGCGCGGGTGCCGGTGCGGGTGCAGGCGCTGGTGCAGGTGCGGGTGCGGGTACTGCTTCCTGGGGAGGCTGTGCCGGTGGTGCTTCGTTGGGCGGGGCCCGGTTGTTTAGCACTGCCATCGGCGGCTTCTTGGCTCCAGGCTGTCCAGGCTGTCCAGGCTGTCCAGGCTGTCCAGGCTGTCCAGGCTGTCCAGGCTGTCCAGGCTGGGAGGCTGGTGGTTGCGTTGGCGGCGGCGGTGGCACGCTCGGCGGCTCGTGCGGATGCGCTGCTAGCGCTGTTGTTGTTGGAGGCCGCGTTGGTGGCGAGAAGGGCCTGGGTGGCACGGAAGTGACCGGGGGGGCCGGCAAAGGCTGTTCCGGGGGAGCTGATCCAACCTGTGGAGGCTGCTTCGGGGGCGGCTGTGTTGGGCCAGCGGTGCTAGGCTGCGGTAACGCGGGCGGCGGCCCAAGTTGTGCTTGCGGTTGAAGCTGCAGCTGCAGTGGCTGGGCCGGCGGCTGGGCTTGCGTCTGTGCCTGTGGCTGGACGGGCGGAGGTTGGGACGGCATGGCAGAGGAAGATGCTGCAGCCAGTGACGGAGTTGCTGACGGAGCTTTGGTTGCGATCTGCTTCGGGGTCGCCGTCTTCGGTGCCACGGAGCTGGAGCTTGCATCCTCAGTTTTGTCCTCAATGACTGTCTTGTGCACAGGGTGCACAGATACCGTGGGTGCAGGCTTTGGCTTCGGCATCTCCTTTGGTTTGGGTTCCTCCTTCTTTGGCGGCTCCTCCTTGTCGTCCCCTTCCTCATTATGACTCGGAACTCGTTGAGCCAGGTAGTCCTGAACCTCCTGAAAAGATGCACGCGAGAGACAACAAAAGAGAGACCTGAACCCTAAACCCTACATGAGCTATAGTCAAAACTCCTAGCATCCCACCAATAAGCCCTATAATGCCCCCCTACAGAATGCCCTATATAACCTCCTTTAAGGAGTTTAGACTACAGGTCATCTA